AAACGGCCCGGAGGAACCTTCTCTTATCAAACGTGGATTCTCAATTGCGCAGTAATGTCTATTATTTTTTATTGAATAACACAAACTTTGTGAAATGCGATTCATCATACCACAAAATATGATAATAAAAATTTCTACCATCTTGAAGTTGAAAGATGAAATTACTTTCATATAAGATGGTGTACTTGATATTTATGAACGGAATCCATGTTCCTTCAAAATGCGCCTGATGATATACATTTGTTGCTTATTCCAGTTGCCCGTTGGATCAAAGTGAACATATGCGAACACACTTATCTCCGCTTCTTCACTTACTACGAAAGAGTTCTCTTCATCACTATTGACATCCTCATTTGTAAAACTTTGCCTCTATCTTGAAAAAGTATGAATAACTTGGGAACTTCTATTAGGATATCACTGACCGTAACAACGCACAAGCATTTCTAGATACTTATTCTGCATTCACCGAATATTAATAGCATGCTTGTTTTCTTGTAAAACTCATAGTAAAAAACTCTGAGGCTTACCTTTTATGGAATAGGAATAAGTGAAAATGAATTTAAGTGAAACGAAGATTGCCAACATCAAGGTAACTAAAGAATAATATACGCTATGAATTAACTTTCATTTGTTTTCCATAGCCTACTATTATCTTCAAATAAGTGCTATTTGAAAAACATCTTAAATTTTCATAGTTTTCCGTACTTTCTTGCGGCGACTGGTAGCTTCTAGGAATAGCTGAAATTTTAATTTGTTACTAAACTGATAGTAGCTTGCAGAACATCATTGAAAAACACCTAGGATAGGTTATGAAGGTTGTAGTCACAAATTCTTTTATGTAGCTGTCATTTCATATCCAACGCATACTTCTCATACATCATTGAATAGAGAACTTCACACGTAGAATAAGCTTTCTGAAAAAAGGTACACAGGGTCCCATTTAAATCTATCAGAAATCCTGTGTTAAAAAAACATAAGCACACAAGCTTTCACTTATTTGGGCCCGTTTTAATAGACATTTGTTGATCACACCACCTTGACAGTTAAAATATTGTTTGGATTGTAAGCAATATGGCGGATTTTAGGTTATTCACAATGTCCTTTATAGCGCGGCCATTTGAAAACGATAGTGTCACTTGTGAACATGTTTGAAAAGGGAATTTGTATAGAATATGATTATGGAAAAAATATACACGTTTCCATCAGGTCACCTCCGGTTAAGTTGGGAAGGGAGAGATAACCCATTAAACTTTCCAGAAATGCCTCTTATTAACTAACTAAACATGTCCCAATCTTGGAGCGATATCTTTATTTTCCAAAAAATTACAGCGTGTTTCCAGTTTTCATTGTCACCCGGTATAAGCGTCCATTTTCTATATACTGTTACTATTTCCCGGCAAGCGCATCGCCTCTGTCGGAACTGCTAACTTTAACATGTAAGCCGCCTATTTCCAGGCAGATTCGGAATTCCGACAGCTTGCGCGTCTGATTGGTTTGCCTTTGACAGCCCCGCGAAACAGTTGAAGCAAAGAAGTCGCCGGCCTCTCGCCAACTATTTCAATACCTCAACCGTTCGTCCGGCCCGCCTTCGTTACGGCCACCAAGTTGTTTCGAGTTGCTGATAGAACTTTTGATTTAGAGACGATTAAGTTTCGTGAAGAGAATTTCTCTCTCTCTGCGTGTATGTATGGAGCAACCAACGTGTATGGGGTTCGATTTTACTCTCTACCCACTCTGCCTTTGCCGTTTTATTGCCGCTCCTGCGGATAATTTCAATGGTTCGACGGGAATTAATCTGTGTACGACATTGGCGTATTCATAAAAGTTGTGATAAATGTCCCACATTGGTAAAATGTTGTTCCAATCAGGTTTCTTTTCTGGATCTGTGGAAGGCATGCTTGTAATATTTGGATAACTTAGGTTACTTACCCTGTGGATGCATGTCTCTTTGAAACATGAAATGTAATAATAGACACCGTATATCGTCAGATTTCGCACGACATGATCTGTCCACTAAAAAGTTGTATGTTTAGTGCTAATAATAGTTATTATTTATATTACATGGAGGACTTTTTTCATCTTCTATTTTTCAAAGACCTTGAAATAAGTGAGCATATAAAGCGCACTACTGATCAGCTGAAGTCGCTGCATCTTCAACTTATGCAGTGAGAGGCGTAGGATCTTGGTTGGAGTGGAATGTAGGCCAGCTAATGCTCAGAAGCCAGATAAAGGTTGTACTGCGCACAACTATGTATATGTTTCGATATTATAAGATAGTATGATGTAAATAAATAGGTACTATCAGTGTATGTGTTGAGATCCACTATCGTGGACCCCCATATTCATTTCATGGACCCCCAAATTTTTTTTCGCTGACGTAGACCCCTTGCAGGTTGTCATAGACTCCTAGGGGTCGATATAGACCACTTTGGGAATCAATGGTTTAGACCATGGCGTGCTTTGAGATGAAATGACTAGAAAACACTTTCTTGCGCGAGAATTTAAAAAATTTTTGGAGTAGACCAGTTTTTTTAAAAAAGGGCCTCGCAAAAGTGTCTTGCTCCAGGCCTCGCATCTGCTACGAACGGCTCTGACCCCACGAGCTAACTTAGTATTGCACTCACCTCTGTGCTCGTCAGTCGTTCCTATAATTGTAGGACGCCTTTATGACCTCCTTGATTTTTATAGTCTTCTACTGTTCCATGACAGTACTCTCTTGGGTCCGTGGCTCTATATTATGGAGGTATATAAAAAACAAACGCACACAGACCGGTATCTGCATAGGAACTCCAATCACCACCCTT